CGTAAGGGGCGGAGTCTATGTCGGTAACGTCGTGGCTGTTAAAGCTCGCCGTTTATCCGCACACCTTTCCGGGATCTACAAAATAAACGCCGTTTGCCACATGGTGATCCAAGTGGAGGCACTAAAGAAGAAGACAGGACCAGGTCAGTGCTACCGATGCCAACAATTTGGCCACAGCCAGATGAACTGCACGGGAGCCGCGCTGCGTCAGATGCGCAGGAAAACACAGAGCGGCGGACTGCAAGGTCCCAAATGAAAAACCCGCGAAATGTATCAACTGCGGGGGAGAGCATCCCGCAAACTTTGGAGGATGCCCAAAGAGGCCGAGTGCAGGGCCAAGGACAAAAAGACGGCACCAAGGGGCACAGCGCGAGCAGCGCCAGCACCCAAAACCATAACTAGGCCTAGTCCAGTCCAGGAGGGCCGTAGTTATGCGTCGACGACAGCTGGGGCAACTAAAGTGGCCCCAGTCGCTCAGGCCAGCAGTGCCAAAGACAGCGACGTCGAGGAGTTGACCGATTTCGCCACCAAGCACGCATCACAAATGATGTCACTGGTGATGAAGAACCCGGCGGCCAAAAAGGCGTATTTCGCTCATCTGGAGCAAAAATACGCCTAAACAGAGGGAAGCACTGACCAAAACTCCAAATGGGCACTCCAATAACCATTGCAAATAGGGGCCTGAAGATATTGAGTTGGAACGTCCACAGCGTCTCCAACAAGAAATATGAGATAGGCGAAGTCCTAACAAAAGGAAACTATGATGTAATGGCATTACAAGAAACGTGGCTCTCTGGGGAAATCCCACACTGGACGATACAGGGATACACGACATACAGAAAGGACCGGAACAGAACCGGAGGTGGGGTGCTACTTGCTGTCAAGACCAGCATTACCCACTGGGAACTGGGACTGCCAGAACTAAGATCAGCAGAGGCCGTAGGAGTGACGGTACGCACAACAGACCACGGCCCTCTGAACATCGTTTCGATGTACGTACCACCCACATCGACGATATATCTGGAAGATGTCACCTGTATCACTGCACTGGGAAACAGTACCGTGATCGTAGGTGATCTAAACGCGAAGTCCACCATTTGGGGCTCAAGAAACAGAAACAGTCACGGCGCTGTTCTGGAAAGACTAATGGATGAACCTGGATATACCATGATAGGTCCGGACGAACCTACAATATACCCCAGCAACGGAGGTAGACCAGACGTCATAGATATGGCGATTCTGAAGGAAATCGACATGCGCACCACCATCGGCGCCATGCAAGAGGGAAGCTCAGACCACAATCCCATCTTTCTCTGTATGGGAGATGGGATAACACCTGTGGAACAAAGAACAGTGAAGAGAGTGAATTGGCAGCGGTTTAGAACCAGACTGCACTATTCACAAGGACCACTACTACAGATCGAAAGCCCCGAAGGCATAGAAGAAGCGGTCACGGACCTAGAAAGGAAGATTAAGGCTGCGTTAGAAGCCGCAACCACCGTGGAAGACATAACGCAACCAAACAGGTTCAGGGACCTACCTGACGAGGTAAATCGCAAGATCACCGAAAGAAACAGAGCCCGAAGAGTAGCCCAGGAGACCAGAAGCCCCACGGACATCATGGTGGCAAACATACTTACGAGACAGGCACGAGACGCCCTGAAGCAGCACCATCAGAGCACCTGGGATAAGAAACTCGACGAACTATCTCCAGCTGACCCAGGAATGTGGAACTTGGCTAAAATCCTCAGAACAGAAGACAGCCCATCCCCCCAATACACAGCGAACAGGGATGGTGTACACAACCGAAGAGAAGGCAGAAGCTTTGCTGACAACCTTCAGAGACAGTGTACTCTCAATAATCACCCCGATGAAGACGAAGACTTCATCGACGAGGTGATGAGAAGATCGAGGAGAGCTGTCAGAGGAGGAAGAGCCATCGAAGACATGACCTCTCCAGGCGAGGTAAGGGAAATCATCGAAAGACTCAAGGTGAAGAAAGCACCGGTTGTAGACGAAATTGGGAACAGAGTCTGAAGAGACTCCCGAGGAAAACGATAATGGCAATTACCAACATTGTCAACGCCATACTGAGACACCGGTACTTTCCAGATCACTGGAAAGTAGCCGAGGTGATCAACATACCTAAACCTGGGAAGACCCAAGGTTCCCCCAAAACTACAGACCCATAAGCCTGTTGACGGCATTGAGCAAGATTGCGGAAAGGGGTAATCGAACGAAGACTGAAGAACGAAACCGAAGAACTCCGAGTAGTTCCAGACGAACAGTTCGGATTCCGATGCGAGCATTCAGCAGAGCACCAGGTCCTAAGGCTGGTCGAGATGGCAACGAATCGTTCCAGACTCGGCGGGCCGTGGGAGCTGTGTTCATGGATGCCGCAAAGGCGTTCGACACTGTTTGGCATGACGGACTGATCTACAAGATGGTAGACCTCGGATACTCAAAGGGGATGATCCAACTGGTGAAGTCCTACTTGAAGCACCGAAATTCCGAATTAGGATCGGTAAAACAACTTCGACGACGAGGACTGTGGAGGCAGGAGTACCGCAGGGAGCGGTTCTATCACCCCTGCTGTATGCAATCTACAGCTCGGACATCCCGAAGACTCCTCAAACGCAACTGTATGTGTATGCGGATGATACAGCATATGCGGCAGAAAGTACGAGACCCCGCATGGTTACGGAATATCTGCAACGAGCGACCACCAACCTAGAGGAATGGTGCATCAAGTGGAAGATCCGCCTCAACCCCGAGAAGACCGAAGCGGTACTGTTCCGAAGAAATCGAGATACCTCAGACCAAAATAAAGATGACGACCACCAGAATGGAGAGAGGCTGGAGAAGAGATGAAGAGGTTGAGGTCGACTGGAAAGACTCCAGCACATACCTTGGAGTCAAGATGGACCAGAAACTCACTTGGAAGAACCATGTCGAAGACCGGGTGCAGAAAGTGAAGATGGCACGCTCCAAACTAAGACCCTTAACGGGCAGAAGAAGCAAAGTGTCACTAAAGAATAAGACCATCATGATTCAGATGGTGCTGCTACAAATCATGACTTACGCAGCAGTAGCTTGGGGCTACGTTTCCAAAACGATGAAGAAGAGGCTCCAAGCTCAACAAAAACATGGCACTCCGTGAAGCGGTGGACGCACCGTGGTATGTACCTAACAGAGTGCTATATGACGAACTACGACAGGTACCGGTCGTAATCCAGATGAAAGAGAGGGCCCGAAAGTTCTTTGAAAAGAACGAAAGACATCGAAACGTGCTGATTAGAGACGCCTTGGATTACGACCCAAGAACAATAAGGCGTCACAAAAGACCGAAAAGCCAGCTGCAACAAGAAGATATTTGGCCCTAGCAGCTGATGAGGCCAAAGAAAGGGGAGAAGACCGACAATAGTTGTACACCCAAGAGGGGAAAGAACAGCCCGTGTACACGGGTGGACAAAAAGAAGCCTGTCGATTGAGGTGGCCAGAGTCAAGCACGGACTCGGGGCTAACCTCAGGAGACGAATGACTTACAAAATGACCGACTGACGACGACTGACTGACTCCAGTCGACGAGGAAAGAGCGAAGGCTCACCAACCTTTAAGAGGGGCTTAGGTCAAAAGCCCCCAGCGCAGGACCCCAAGAAAAGAGGCCGTCCATAAAGTCGAGAACCGACAGTTGGAAGAAACGTCCACCACGCGCTTCCGCGACGCGTGCGCGATCGAGTCAAATTTCGGGAAAAAGGGGCAAAAATTGGGGAAGGGGGGATAGCTCGTTCGGCAGCACACACTCGGGGAATGCGCAAGCGGCCTGAACCACGCAGCGCCACTCCAGGCCTTGGGCGGGAGTGGGTGAGGAGCAGATTGCTCTTCCCCCCACTCCTCAAGGGTTTGAGGTTGCCTGGAAACAGGGGTGGTGGAGGGACCGCAAAGGGTAGGAGGGTGTGTGTGGTGTGGTGTGTGTGTGTGTGTGCACACCTTTCCATTATAGATCACGATATTGTGTCAAGTAAAGATCGTACTTTTTTGTGTAAATCGAAACGCGATGCCACCCAAAACTAGCGGTAAAGCAGCTAAAAAGGCCGGTAAGGCTCAAAAAAATATTTCCAAGTCTGATAAGAAAAAGAAACGCAGGAGGAAGGAAAGCTACGCATTTACATCTACAAAGTGCTGAAGCAGGTACATCCAGATACCGGTATTTCCAGCAAGCGATGAGCATCATGAACAGCTTCGTCAACGATATTTTTCGAACGTATCGCAGCGGAAGCATCCCGATTGGCACATTACAACAAACGTGCCACGATAACTAGCAGAGAACATTCAAACAGCCGTTCGAACTATTGCTACCAGGAGAATTGGCCAAGCACGCCGTCAGCGAAGGTACCAAAGCCGTAACCAAGTACACCAGTTCGAAGTAATATGTAAACTACGACGACAACAACAACATCAACAACAAACTTACAACATAAAACGGTTCTTTTCAGAACCACTAAAGTTATCAAGTAAAGATAATGATATCACCGTACGCGCAACATATATATTATTGGTACTTGAATACCAGATGATTATTCGTGATATACATACACCACTAAAGCAATAACGTCTGATATAAGACCCGACCGGATTATTTAATGGTAAACGAAAGCGTAAAAAAAGGGGATATCCTTACGACGCAATCGACTGTTTAACGTTCATTCGTTTAATTAAACACAATACATACTTATTTATACCCTTAAAAAGCAATATCGATGGGTGACGACGCCTACATTACCACTTGCTTATAAATACCTAATCGTAAACGAATAATACTCGAATTTAATAAAAAAAAAAAAAAAAAAAACATCAACGCACGTACGAGCCGCAGTTGTACATGTATATTTCGATACAAAATTGCTAATTCGTAAATATTCTGTATCCTTTTTATAGTAATAGTGGTGGCCCTGAAAAGGGCCATTTTCAATCCGCGGGGACGTATAGCATCCTCTCGCATAAATATAACGTCTCGAACCGACGTAGCCGTAATCTACGACGTTGCAACACGTCTAAATTTTTTTTTTTATTTCTTCTTTTTGGGTGAAGCGGCCTTCCTTTTTGGCGATGTTGCAGCCTTCGCCGTTTTTCGGTTTTGGTGCTTTTGGCTTCTTGGTCGGAGCTCCCTTGCTGGATTTCTTCGCCTTCGAAGGAGATTTTTTTGCAGCCGCTGCAGAAGGTGCAGCAGAAGAAGCTTTAGCCGACGTCGCCGATTTCCCACTTTTCTTGTCTTAGCTGGAGAAGCTTTCTTCTCGGCCGCACCCACCGGCCACCGCCGGTTTCTTAGCCTTCGGAGATGCCTTCTTCGCAGATTTCGCACCGCTAGCTCTCTTAGCTACGGTTCCGCTCTTCTTGAGCCGGTCGCGGATTTCTTCTTCTTTCGCCAACCTTTGCGGCTGACGATGATGAAGTTTTCGACGCTCCGCCAGCCGATGACGAAGCTAGCTTGAACGATCCGGAAGCTCCTTTGCCTTTCGTCTGTACTAAAGCTCCAGACGCGACGGACGATTTTAAGTACCTCTTGATGAAAGGCGCAACTTTCTCAGCGTCTACTTTGTAATTAGCGGCTATGTATTTCTTGATAGCTTGCAGAGACGACCCGCCACGCTCTTTTAATCCTTTAATTGCGTTGATGACCATTTCGCTAGTAGGAGGATGAGACGGCTTCGCCCTCGGATTCTTCGGTTTTTTCTCCTTTTTCGCAGACGACTGCGACGTCGGCGACGCAGAATTCGCGGTAGCCGTAGCCGACGCGGCGTAATTCTGGTTTTCCGTATCTGCCATGTTTACGAGTCGTGAAGAGGAGACAGATTATTGTATACGCGCGATCTTTGCAATCACTGATCGACGATCTCGCTAAGAGAACGAATGTCGAATGAATGTGAGAGGTAAATTCAGCGTCGTGACCCAGTCATTTCGGTCGGACCGAACATTGAACGCTCCGACTTTGCAGCGAAACCGATTTCGACGGCTTCAATTCTGCCAAGCCTGCGGTCGTATCTGTTGGTTTTTTGAGTCGCTGATATAATTGCATACGAGCAACAGCTAAAACCTGAACGAATATGAAATCTGCATAATTTGAAATACACATTTAACTTCGCGACTTGATCACGTACGCTACGTACACGATAAAATTATAAGGTGAAACGTGCAAGGTATCCGCTTTGGACCTAATCGTCCGGCTTTTTGATCTAATTTATATTATACGAATACGTTATATAATTAGATATTTCATGAAATTAACAATCTACGACTATTCGTAATACAATTATACTGTCGGTATACGGCTAATGGATAAGGTATTTTAGATAATCGCAATTATACGGAGGTATGTCTGGCGTACATCCGAACGTGCACAGTCGCGAAATATATCGCGATAATTTTAACATTACTCCTGTAATATGACAAAATAGATAATAATATGAGACATCAATCTATTATTCGTAATAAATAAGCCAGAGTAGAAAAATATTATATATAATATACGAGCGATCGAGTTATAAATTCATCTCTTACTACATATTAATTATTAGACGTACGCATTACTGACTTTTGATCTACGTGAAAGTACCTAATGTTACGTATTACACGCTAACAGCCTGCCTAAACGCCTAAGCAATATATACGGCAAAATATCTATATTATGTCGAATTATCTACATTATAATCACATGCTACTTATAAGTTATTTTACTTCCATACACATACATACAATTCGTACGTTATTAGAATAATATCAATGTAACGGTTTACTACAAAGCACCACAATCCTTCGATATAGGATAACGGGTAATAACTAGCGACTATCGTATAACCATTTAGCGCTATTTTGCATACACGATAATAGTGTCGAAATTGCACGCGTACAAACAACAATCTGATATACTTAACATAATACACGATCCCCTTTTTCTGAACATACTATATGATGGTTCTGAAAAGAACCGTTTTTTTTTTTTATAACCTATTATCGCACGCCGTACTCTCTCTCTCTCTCTCTCTTTCCGGCAAATAGTAAATCCGTCAATTCCATTAGGCACGTTCGCCCCTAATACGTCTTGCCAGCTGTATATCTTTCGGCATGATCGTTACTCGCTTAGCGTGGATCGCGCACAAGTTCGTATCCTCGAATAGTCCGACCAGGTACGCTTCGCTAGCTTCTTGGAGTGCCATTACAGCAGAACTTTGGAATCGCAAATCGGTCTTGAAATCTTGCGCTATTTCACGGACCAGCCGTTGGAAAGGCAATTTTCTGATCAACAATTCGGTACTTTTCTGATAACGACGAATTTCTCTGAGAGCCACAGTTCCCGGACGATAACGGTGAGGTTTCTTAACTCCGCCAGTAGCAGGAGCACTTTTACGGGCAGCCTTCGTGGCTAATTGCTTCCTGGGAGCTTTACCTCCGGTGGATTTACGAGCCGTCTGCTTGGTACGCGCCATTACGTTAAATTTCAGATAACTGAATATAAATTATCTATATAGCAGCGACGTGAATATTGCAACGGACAATATTATAGTGAGCGGAGGTAAACACCGCGAACAGTTATATTTATATGGGCTCGAAATACGAAACAGTCTGATTGGCCAATTGATAGACCAATAGGAGGGACGACAACGCTAACAAAACCGGGCGTCACGAGAGACGTACCGTCAGTTGGCAACAGCCCGTTCGCTTTAACAGTTCGACGTGCGAGAGAATCTTGAAAAATGACTGGACGCGGTAAAGGTGGTAAAGGATTGGGAAAAGGAGGAGCGAAAAGGCATCGTAAAGTTTTGAGGGATAACATCCAGGGAATTACGAAACCGGCCATAAGAAGATTGGCGCGACGTGGAGGAGTAAAACGTATATCCGGATTGATTTACGAAGAAACTCGAGGAGTGCTCAAAGTCTTTTTAGAGAACGTAATCAGGGATGCAGTCACTTACACCGAGCACGCTAAAAGGAAGACAGTCACTGCAATGGACGTCGTATATGCATTAAAGAGACAAGGACGCACTTTGTACGGATTCGGTGGTTAAACACTCCGCAGCAATTACCACGGTACAGGTTGAACGAAAATACAATACAAAGAAAAAAAAAACGGTTCTTTTCAGAACCACCATATACTCTCGTGAGAAAGAATGGATCTGCCGATTGAACCGCCACATTAATTTTCTATTTTTTTTTATACAAAATAAAAAGAAACACTCACATAAATGAGTTTATCGGAATATGAGAAATTGATCGACTTATACGTTTTGGCTCTTTGAATTACAATAATCGACGATTTCGGTCCCGATATGTCCCATTATCGAGATACCGGCGAATATTAGACGTGAATGCGACGATGAGATGCCTCGATTAAATAATTTAGTTATTGCCAACTTCTCGCGCCACAACCGATCCGATATCACCCTGAGAAAATTTTTCCATATACAAATGATAATCCCTTCATTTTCTTATTAAATTACTTGTTGGCCCTGAGAAGGGCCGATTGTATGTTCAGAAGATTTTTTTTTTAGGCTTTCTTCTCCGTCTTTTTCGGCAAAAGAACAGCTTGGATATTAGGGAGAACTCCTCCTTGGGCAATTGTGACGCCTGAAAGCAATTTGTTCAATTCTTCGTCGTTTCTGATGGCCAATTGCAGATGACGTGGAATAATACGGGTCTTTTTATTGTCGCGAGCAGCGTTGCCTGCCAATTCCAAAACTTCAGCGGCCAAGTATTCCATAACGGCCGCTAGATATACGGGAGCTCCGGCACCGACGCGTTCAGCATAATTCCCTTTTCGCAATAACCTGTGGATACGACCGACGGGAAATTGTAGGCCGGCCCTGCTGGATCGGGACTTTGCCTTTCCCTTAACTTTACCGCCTTTTCCGCGTCCTGACATATTCAATTTGTTAATCTGCTAAACGAACGACGTCGACTATGAACTTGCAAATGCACAACATGATCTCCGCGAACGTTGTATTTATATGAACTAACCGACCAATCGACGCGAACGTTTGCCGGCAAACGCCTGGGGGCGGAGTCTACGGTCGTAACGTCACCTGTCTTAAATACGGCCAGA